GGGGGGGGGGGGGCGACAGCGCCCGCTCGGGGTCGCCTTACGGGGAGACCTGCTCGGAGCGAGCCCCAGCGCCTTGACCCCTCTGACAGCTCCAGGTCGTGGGGCCCTGGCTCCCATTTTTGCAGACGTGGAGCTCGAGACGCGGAAGTCTAGGTGCTCAAGGTCGTACACACAGTTGACACAAGAGCTGGGTGAGGTTGCAGGTAATGAGTCAGGGCCCTGGCACTTCTGGACCCTCCCCAGAAACGGGGACGCGCTTCGTGCCGGCGATCAGAAGCTCGGGGTGCCGGGCCGGCCTTGAAAGGCTGGGAAAGTTAACTTCGGCCCCTGCTGCGGGCCCTTCTGCAAAATGAAGGGGTTGGACTAGAACCCCCGTGGCCCTCCAGCCTTTCTTGATGTTCTTGTCGGAAGGATAGTTTCTATGGAACGCACGTTTTCTGCCGGACCCGCTAGGAGCTAATTGGGGGCCGAGGACGGTAGAAGTCTTGTTGCGGAACTGTTAGTACGCAGGGCAACGTGGGAGGTATGCTTCTGGCTGACTTGAGCCGCAGAGTGATCAGGACCCTCTTCAAGGCGTGTATTTGGGGAGCTCTTCAAAGAAGGCTTCGGAAGTCTATTTCCCAGCCACTTCGTTTCAGCTGCGCCCCCCTCCCCGCCCCCGTATTTTCCACAGAGAGTAAGAATTGGAAAACCTTGGCCTTTTATTTGGGTGCGTTTCTGGGGGAAGGAATTGACATCTTCGTAGGTAAATCCAGAATTGGGGATTTGTTATTCATACTGTAGGAATTCATCATTTTAGTGGAGCTGCTGTCGAATGAATAACCCTTTTAAAAATGTATTATAATTCCAGAGGAAGAGCTTAACTTAGTGTAGCAGTGCTTTGGAAGCTTATGTGCTAACTCGTTTTGGCTATGGGGAAGAAAAATTGTTTCCAGTGGAATTTTATTAATTAGATAAACAGTGAAATCGAAACCCCAGCTTCTTTGGAAAGTATCTGACCTTTTACTGTTGTTCTTGGAAGAGTTAAGCGAGTATTGTGATTGTAGAATTGCCTGTTTTGTGTAATCCTCCCTCCAGTCTGTCGTATTACTGCTTGGGTTCTCTTTTTTCCTCTTTCCATCTGTCATTTTTTTCTTACTGCCTTTTTTTTTTTTTCTTTCCTTTAAAAAAAAATTTTTTTTTCAGGGGGAAGGAACATTGGCTTCGTGTCATGAGCCGCTGGCTACCAGATGTTATTGACACAAGAATTCTCAAACAAGACACAGAACGTTTATTCTTCTTTTGTCCTACCCTGCTTTATCATCACAAACAATACTTATCTTGGGTTTGTACAGATATGTGTACCTTGCGTGTGTAGGATCCGCCGGTAGGATATCTTTTCTCCAAGACACACGGTATTCTCTTAAGAGTTTGTCCAATAAACAGAGGAGTTTCATAGAAGTTGATGCAGAATAGTTACATCAGTAGAAATGGTGACCATGTCTTGAATTTATTTTAGGCACCCAGATAATGGCACGCAGGACTCCTTTGGATCCTGACAGCAACTTTAGGAAGTAAATTTTATCGATGGCCAGTTTGCAGACGGGAACGTGGGGCTCGCAACACTCCATGGTTTATATGAACTGTCGAATGCTTCATTTTTAGCTAGATCTTTCGGAGGCTGTTTAAAACTGACAGCGCAATTCCCTAGGGAAAACCTAAACTTGTAGAAGATTAGAAGCCATGGTAACAAAATATATCAAACAGAGTTGAAATTAGTTTTTTTGAAGATGAAGACGACGACATTCTTAAATACCAAAAACACGTAACTGCGTGCCCATGTGTGTTCACGTGTGAACCAAACCTTCTGCTTTGGGGAACTTCCACAGGATTCTGCATTTGTTTTCTCGCTTCTTAGCGAACGCGAAGGGAATGGCTGCCAAGTGGTAATGCTGCATTTTATTGAACGCAAAAGCCAGGCTTTCAGAAGTGCAGATGTTGAGGGCTCTGCCTCCACGTAAAGTAGCTTTTTGTTTTCTTGTGACTGAATATTCACACGTTCACCTCTAGTGTTGGGCTTTTGCTGGTGTCGAGGAGGTCACATTTATTTCTACAATGTCCAAGTAGAATGATGGACATGTCCTACTTGTCCTCTTGCCAAGTGGTGTCCTCTTGAACAGCCTTTGATCACTGGGTTAAGACTGGAGGCCAAATGTTACAGCCATCTTTGTAGACACTCAGCCCTGGATTCCTTTTTCCCCTCTCATCGTCCCCCAGCACCCGGAAGGTTGGCTTTGAAGCCTCACCTGGATTTTTGGGGGGTAATGATTTTAAGTCCAGTCCCACTCCGTTTACTTCCTTGGGGAAAATTAGCATTGATCAGCCACAGATGCTTCTTTTATCCTGATGCCCTGTGCAAATAGAGAGAGGTCACTTACTTTTTACCAGACTTTTCCTGTCTGGAGTCCGAGGCTTGAGCTTTCCTATCTCACGTTTATTCCTCATACAAGGATATACCACGTGTCACTCTAGAATACGCATGTGGGGGTAGTTTTGCCCTCGGGACATTTGGCATAGTATGGAGATTTTTGGTTATCACAGCTGGAGGTGGAATGCTACTTGGCCTCTAGTAGGTAGACCGTAAACATCCCACAGTGCATAGGACAGCTCTCCGTAACAGAGAATGACGTAGCCTAATTTTTCAGTTGGGGCCAGGGTTGAGAAACCCTGCTCTAGAGAAGTGAGTGTTATCCTAAGAAAACTCCAGTTTGGGCTGGGAGCCCCGGATTTCCTTTGGTGTGCAGCCTTTCTTATGTCAGGGATCTTGGGAGAGTCCCAGGCAACCTTTCTTCTCTTCTTAAACGCATGGGCCGTGCTTGATTTTATTATGTGAAAATACTAGCAACTGCAGCCATTTGTGCAGCACTTTCATTATATTCTTCTGGATGGTGACGAAAAGGAGGGCTGGAGATAGTTTTCTGGAGTGGATTTGCAGCTACAGAACAGACACACTTAGATTTATAGTTTCAATGTACTATACAGGGAACTCTGTATTTGAAAGGCTCCTGTCCTCAACTTTCCTTGTTCAAAGTGTTTTTTGTGTTTTGTTTTTTTAACGTTTTATTTATTTTTGAGAGAGAGAGAGCATGAGCTGGGGAGGGGTGGAGAGAGAGGGGGACAGAGGACTCAAAGCAGGCTCTGCACTGATCGCAGCGAGCCTGACGCGGGGCTTGAACTCGTGAACCATGACATCGTGACCTGAGCCGGAGTCGGACGCTCGACTGACTTAAGCCAGCCAGGCACCCCAACTTGTTCAGTTTTTGACGATGATTAATTTTATTTGAAGATCGGGCATGCTACTCCAATATGATAGGAGTCTTGGGCCTGTGCTTCCTTGACCTTTAAGATGGGAGTTAAACTCTTCTCTCAACAGCAGTACTCACTGGAAAAGTTTGAGAAGCTTAATACAGTGCTAAGAACACTCGACTTGACATCTTGTCCAGTCACCTGCCTGTGTCATCCTGGCCAGTCATTTCACATCTCTGAGCTGCAGTTCCCCTTCTGTAAAATCTAGATAACTAGTAAATTTGATAATTAGTGCAGACATAAGCACTGCAGACAGAAAAAAAATACAAGTTGAAAGGAGCTGGCCCAGTAGAGGTAGTAGGATAGTAAATTCCAGTACCCTGATGAGTCTGAATCTGACGCACTTGGGGAAATTGCTGTGGAAGAAATTAGGAAGGTAATCACATGGCGAGTTCACTCCAAGGGGGTTGGAGCTAATCTTTAGTTTAATCCTAAAGTACTAAGAGGGCCAGATTTACCTGGCTTTTCTTGAAGCCTGCAACATGCCATACTTTGTTTGGGCTGTGGCCATCTGGAGGTGGGTGAGACCAGTTAGAAGTATGTTAAAACAGGCTGTGCAAGAGATGAGGACCAGAACTCCGCTAAAAGGAAAGTTACACTCACCTTGGTTTCCTGGCTAACGTTTAGTTAGTCCTCAGGAAGTGAGCCTTTGTATTACCGCCGTTAATTTCCTCTTGACGACGACATAGGAAGTTAAGTACTATTGCCCCCATTCTGCAGATAAAGAAATTGAGGCTTGGAGAGGATAACTAATTTACCAAGCGTTACACAATTAGAAGATAATTTTAGCCTCTCAGAGATTGACTTAGTGATCTGAGAGTCATCTCAGGTCCATTTAATTCTGTAGATAAGGCAATATAGGAGGTATAACCACAGTGTATTCTTAACCTATAGTGCTTTGAATGATTAGTAGAGCTCAGGGGAGACACTTGGAGAATCGTTTGGAGGGGGTAAACCAGCTAGGAGGTTTTCTCCAGTGAGAGATGATACATTTTAAATTGCTGTGGTCACAGAAAAGAGCGAATTGGAAAGATACGAGAGAATTTCTAAGGATGTTCCGAAAACGACCCCTTTATATCTGATTTTCACAATTGGTTTTGAAGAGTGGGCGATGACAAGTCAAAGGGGGCATATTATGAGTGCCCTCTTTGACGTTTGAAGTTAGAGTTGCCTTTGATATGGCCGAGGGGACATGTTAAGGAGGTAGTCGAATATATCGGTCTGAAGCTCTGAAGACACATCGGAATTGGAAATAGGAATTTGTGAGTCATCAGTGTTGTGATGTTAATTGAAAGCTGTTGGGGCGCCTGGGTGGCGCAGTCGGTTAAGCATCCGACTTCGGCCAGGTCACGATCTCGCGGTCCGTGAGTTCGAGCACCGCGTCGGACTCTGGGCTGATGGCTCGGAGCCTGGAGCCTGTTTCCGATTCTGTGTCTCCCTCTCTCTCTGCCCCTCCCCCGTTCATGCTCTGTCTCTCTCTGTCCCAAAAATAAATAAAAAACGTTGAAAAAAAATTAAAAAAAAAAAAAAAAGCTGTTGTGGACAGGATTGCTTATGGAAAGACTATATTGTGAAAGGGGAAGATCAAGGGCCTACAGCCAAGGATAACGCAGATTGAAAATAGTCATTTAACAAGAATAATGGCATCCAGCTTTTATTCAGTGCTTACTCAGTGTTAAGCACTATACTAAGTTTGTTTGTTTTACCTATTCTGTTTCATTGATTCACCCAAAGAACCCTGTAGGGAGATGTGTTTATCATTCACTTTTAGCAGCTCAGAAAGCTTAGGGGAGCAACCTGGATAAAGTCACATGCCCAAGAAATTGAGGAGCTGGCAATGATAGAACACATACTCTTCCCCTCCCCCTCCCCTCCCCCAACACATACTCTTAATAGTGGTTCTGTGTGGTGAATGGTCACTGGTGAACTTTGTGAGAACTTGCTTGGTGGCTTGATGGAAAGGAAGCAAAACTGAAAAAGATGGGAGGTAAAAAAAAAATGGAGATAGTAAAGACAAGGCTTTCAAGAAATTGGACTCCTGAGGAGCTTGGCTGGGGTCTTCTATGGGACTAAGAGAAGTTTCTATGGATTTTTTTCTGGTATTGTTTTTAAGGTGTGAGACAGACGATAGAGCGTGTTTATTTATGGATATATATCTGAAAGATGGTATTGATAGTAAAAAACTTCTGAAAAGGTTGAAGAAGACAGAGCCATGTTTCTCCATCTAGAAAATAGTTGTTGAATGCCTACTATGTGACAGGCACAGTGTGAGGCACTATATGTAAAAACATTTTAGGATATAATGATTCATGGAAAAATGTAGTGAATGGTGTCTTCTTAGGACATTAACCAAAATCCTCTGCA